GAGAAGTTCAGGGTCCTTTCCCTCTTCCTAGCTCATCAGTTTATCTTCTAAGTCTCTCTCCATCCCAACCCCACCCACCGTTCTTTTCCAGGTGAATGGCCCTGTTATTCTCTGGTCCCACAGCAGCCCTGGGGCAGCTCCAGTGGGCTAGGAAGCTTCCCACCTCAGCAGCCCCATGATCTCCACCACATGCACCATCAACAAATTCGAAGTGAACACTGTGTACCTTGTATCAGACAAGCTGGTGAGCTCCAGCTTCAAATCAGATTGCACCTCAAGTTCCTCACAAGCAGAAACTCCTCTGTTGATACTGCTACAGCTAGACCATTCTTTCCCAGTCGGAAATCTGATCATGAGGCCTTGTGTCGTTAAAACCACTTGCTGCAATTAGATAATGACAAAACTCCTCAACTGCCCCCTGCCTCAGGCTCCAGGCTCACCCCACACCACACAGCTCGACTAGGGGCTTCGTTCACCAACACCCTTCCCTGTCCCGTCCACGGTGCCAGACTTTCTCCCTTGCTCTGCCCATGGTCTACAATGGTCTTCCCTCTCTTCAACCCAGGTACGTCATCCTTCAGCAATCAGATGACATACCCCTTCCTCAGGGAAGCCCTCCCTGCCTGGCCTTATTAAAATGTCCCCTCACTTCCCTGACATTTGCCACAGCGTGACCTGCTGGTTTGTGTGATGGCAGGATGGTGCTGGCCTCTCCAAGTAGTCACATGCCAGAGATGCAGAATCACATCTGGTTTCCACTCATCACTGCACTCTGGCATCTGACACCATGCCTGGGCCAAGGGAGGTGCTTAGTACATTTGATGAGTAAGCAAATGGATAAAACAGTAGACAAATGGATGGACAGACAGATGAAAAGATGGACATATGATGAACAGACTGGTGGAGGGATGGCTTGATAGACAAATGGATGGACAGACCAACAGTTAGGTAGATGAATAGTAGCAGGGAGAGATGGTCAAAGAGCACGTTTGTTCCCAGGGCCAACCCCTCTTCTGAGCTCTCCACCCTATCTTTTCCCTGCTCCTCTGGTACTGCTCTCCAACAATTATACTGCCTTTTGCATTTTTCAACCCCAGATCCATCTCAGACCAATCATGTGACTTGGGCAAGTCGCCTAGCTTTTCTGAGATTGATTTTTTTTTCCCACTATAAAGACTGGATAATCCTAAGAGCTAGCTGACCAGGACTGTTTTGAAGGTTACACAAGATAATCCACATACAGCACACCTGATACATGCTGGATGCTCCTGTTTGTCTTACCATCACTATCACTGCTTCAGACCCTTCAGCCTTCCTTCAGCATTGCTCCTCCCTCAGGCTGCTGTTACCCTAAGTCTACCATGCATCACCCAAATGTCTCCAAACAGAATCCCAGCCTAGCCGACTTCACATCCTCACCCTCTACCACTCTTCAAACACCGTGTACCAGGCTTCCCCCTACAACTCTGCTGAAGGTGACGTAACAATCAAACGTGCCATCCTTTGCTTGGCTAACATTCACCTAGACGTCTGCAGCATCTGACCCTATGACCCACCCTGCCTTAAGCCTTTCTCCCCAGCTTCGGTACCAAGACCAGCTCCTGGTTTTATCTTCCAAAACTTCTGGTTGTTTCCTGCTCTGATACCTTCAGTGTGTCTTTTCTTTCTTCCTACCCCCTAAACATTGGCAATATCCTAAGTTCTCTCTCTGTCTCACACACACACACACACACACAGTTCCCTACTCCACACACCTTTCCCTTAGTAGTACCACTGACTATTACAACAAGACCATCTACTCCCTCTCTATGGATGGCACCCGCACGCCCATCCCCAGCTGGGTGCTGCATCCCACAAGTTGCCTCAGATTTCCTGATGGCACCTCAAAGCCACCACTTGCCAAATCAATCCCAGAAAACCTGGCCCTACTCCCTGATTTCAGTTGACAGTCTCACCATTACCCAGGACCGACGCTGAAAGTCCCACTTACAGCCAAGAATTACTTCTTGTGCCGTAGCTCGATGCCTAGTTATGAGCCCATGGGGGTGTGTTGCTGGCCTTCCCCTCTCCTTTTTCTACTCTTCACAAGGTACAAGAGGGTGCCATGGGAACATCATAAATACTTCTTGAACTGAAAAGAGACACTGCAGAGTAACAAGGACTCCTCATAGCCTTCTAGTAGGAGTATAAATTGGTGCAAGCACTCTGAAGGTGATCTGACAAGATCTAGTAAAGCTGGGAAAGCTCATACCCTACAACCCTGAACTTTGCTCCTGGGTATATGCCATGGAGAAACTTTCCCTTGTATCCACAAGAAGACTTGTACAAGAATATTCATAACAGCACAGGTGCCAAGAGTGAAAACCAGAGATTACTGAAAGTCTATTATATCAGGATCGTAGCAGGAAATCACTGGCATGCTCAAACTAGGATAATTAAAGGAGTGTTTTTAAAAGGATTATTTAGGATGAGTTGAGCGCAGAAAAATCACAAAGGGCAGTTTCAGAGTTCAACACCGAAAAGCAGAACTACATCTGAAAAGAGGGAGGAAGTGATTATCCAAATCTGATATCCAGCTCAGGTTATCTTTAAAGCAGCAGTGTATTTCAGGGAAGGAACACAGCCAGCCCAAGGCAATCCCACAGGTAATAAACCGGGGAATACACACTCCAACTTTTGCTTCTCCCTTCCTCCAATCTCCAGTCTGGACTCCCCTCTGAACTTAACAGGAGGCCAGAGGGCAAGAAGCCCACAGGTGAAGCCCATGGAGTCAACCTCCTAAAGCACAGCTGGGGAGAGAATATATTTGGAGAAGCAAAGGGAAGACACTCAGATTCCAGCAACAGATTATTAAGTATATGTTAATACAATGGAATACTGCCCAACAGGAAAATGAGCAAACTAGAGCCACCTATATCAGTACAGATAAATCTCAAAACCCTCACACTGGGCTGAAACCGAGCAGAACCCCGCTGGGCCCTCCTCTATCATAAAAAAAAAAAAAAGTTTCTGCATCTCCTCCATTTCCTGTTGGTAGAAAAAGGCTGTAGTCTCTTTACTGGACCTTCCCTGAGTTCCAAAGAGCAGATTCAAGCAATTACTCATTAAGGAAGTGAGGGAAAGCAGAAACAAAGGAAAGGCAGACAAGAAACAAGTGCAGCCATGAAACAGTCCTAACTCCTCCTCAAGGGATAAACCTAACAATCGGATACAGATGTTTCAGTTGTTCTGCAGGAACTAAGACCCCCACCCAGGTGAAGAATGGTAACTGAATGTTGAGGCCCCAGACTAGTCAGAACCAGGTTGAGGATTGAGATTCCTGGAACACCACCCTGTTACCTCACAAACAATCAAAAAAAACCGTCATATCCTCTGCAGCCGTCACCCCAAATGTTGTCTTTAAAAACTCGTCCCTGAAAACCAAGGGGAGTTCAGGCCTTCTGAGAACGAACCTTCTCCTTGCTTGGCCCTGCAGCAAATCTTTCTCTGCTCCAAACTCTGATTTTTGTGTTTCGCCTTGCTGTGTGTCGGGTACACAATCTTGGGTTTGACAACAGAGTGAAAGAAGCATATTAAAATATTTAGAGAATGTGCCCTACAACAGATTGTATTTTCTAAAAATTCACCTGAAATATATTTCTGGCCCCACCTGCTCTTCCAGAACCTTGCCACCCACCCTATCCTACCCCCAACAGTTGTAAGGAAAAGAACAAGGCTTTAGGACAGAGAATTACAGGAGAAACCTACTTTAGAAAAGGGTCGCCAGGAAAAACCTGTTTGAGAAAGTGACAGACCTTCTTGGGGGGGGGCAGTAATTAGGTTTATTTGCTTATTTAATGGCCGTACTGAGGATTGAACCCAGAACCTCCTGCATGCTAAACATGTACTCTGCCACTGAGCTACAGGCTGCCTTCTGAACTTTAGGTAAGACATGAAGGTGGAGAAAGAGCCAACCCCACTAGCCCAACTATTAGCTAGGTGGGCAGAGAAGTGCAAACGCCAAAGCACTAAGAGAAAGGACTTGGCCCTTTTAAACGGAGTTTAAAAAAAAAAAACGGTGAATTTAAAAAAAAATAGGAGAACTGGGCAAGGGAAAGGATGGCTGGCATGACGCAAGAAAAGTTAGCACAAGCCAGATCATGCAGGACATCTGGAGTGACTTCCCTGGGGTAATGAAAATTGGTGAGTTTCTGGGAGGGGATTTGACTCTACGCAGCAAAAGGCTCTAAGAGGACCAAGGAATCAGGAATAAATGTCCCTCTCAATTCATAGCTCGAGGGCTACCATTCACTCAGCACCTAGCCTGTGTCAGACACTGGGTTACAGAAATCCTTTTAATCCCCTAACCCTCCCGTAAGAAGTATTAACAAACCCACTTTTACAGCGAGCAAGATTATCTACGTCCAAAGTCCAAGCATTTAACTCCAACACGACTCTCGACTGCCTCTCCTCTCTCCTGTTCTAATAGGCACTGCTAACGTTTTGGTGGATGACTCATAGTAAATAACCAGGATCAGGGAGGATAAACTACATCGTGGTGAACGACCATAATAAAAAATAACCACATCTAACGTGACCCGAGCGCCTATCCAGCACCACATGTAACCGCGCTCGTATTATTCCCGTTTCACATATGAGGAAACTGAGGCCAAGACTTGCTGAGCAACGTGGCCAAGGCAGGGCTTGGAAACCAAGTCTAACTGCAGAGCCCACGCTACTAGTAACTGCTTTGCTACCTTACTCTAGCTTCTCTCAGGGAACTCCGGTCAAGGCCAGCGAGGCTCCATCACAGGACCGCTAGCCCTGACACCCTTCTTATCAACAGTGCCCCTAGAAGCCCTACTTGCAGGCGGTGCGGCCGCTACTGGAGTCCCCAGCCCCGGGGTGCAGCCCCTGATGGGGTCCGGCTGGAGGCGCGCATCCCAACCAAACGTTCCCCCCTGGCTGAAGGTTCCGCACCCCTGAAATCATTCCCTCCCGGGGCAAAGGGCCCGCAGTACCTGAGGAAAACGCGTCCAGGGTCCTTCCCCGGGCTCTGTGGAAAACACCCCCCGCCTCCACAGCCGACATGCCGAGCGAGTTTCTCGCCTCAGTACAGTGCGAGGGAGGGAGCAGCGGGACTCCTCACAGCCCAACCGCCGGGCGGGGCCTGCGGGGCTGG